AGAGATTCCCGCCACAGAACACCTGTTCATGCTTGGGGATTACAATGCCCTAGTTGGAGCCGACTACAACTCCTAGTCCCATAGCATCAGCCATTTTGGCATTGGCAAGCTAAATGAGAACGGGCAGAGATTACTAGAGCTATGCTCTTTCCATGACCTTTCCATAACTAACACGTTCTTCTCCCCCAAACTCAACCACAGAGTCTCCTGGTGACACTCCAGATCCTACCACTGGCACCAAGTGGATCTCGTCATCACCCGAAGTCCCTCGCTGAACTGTTTCTTCGTCACTCGTAGTTATCACAGTGCTGAGTGTGATACCGACCACTCCCTGGTCAGTAGCAAAGTACGCCTTCAGCCAAAACGAACTCACCGCTTAAAGCAGAAAGCACGTCCCCGCATCAACGCAGCCAGGACATCTATCCCTGATTTATGCGAGTGTTTTGTCAACACCATTGAGGACGCCCTCAAGGCCTGCCCGACAAACAGTGCTGAAGAACGATGGAACTTCACCCGTGACACCATTTACAAATGCGCCATGGACACCTTCGGCAAAAAGGAGAAAAAGAACCCAGATTGGTTTAAAGCAGGAATTGCTACACTTGAACCAGCAATCACAGCTAAGCGGGTGGCACTGCTCAACTACAAGAGAGAGAGTCAAGTACGAGGGCGTGAAGAAAGCCTTTTGGTCTAAAGTCTGCTTCGGGTGATATCATTACGGATCGAGCCAAACAGATGGAAAGATGGGCAAAACATTATCAGGAGCTCAATTTATGGGAAAACACTGTCACTGAAACAGCAATTGAAAACACCAAACTTCTACCCGTCATGGAAGTGCTTGATGTTCCACCTTCTGCAGAAGAGCTCAGCAAGGAATTGACTCCCTGGCTTGCGGTAAAGCTCTAGGAAATGATGGCATTCCCCCAGGAGTAGGCTGGCAAGAAGAGTGCTCTCCTCAATCATTTGCACGAGCTCTTGCTGTGGTGTTGGGAGGAAGCTAAGGAACAGTGCCCCAGGACATGCCTGATGCCAACATCATAACACTCTTTAAGAACAAAGGAGTGACTGCAACAACTACCGTGGAATATACCTCCTCAGTATCGTTGGAAAGGCCTTTGCCCGTGTAGTACTGAACAGGTTGCAGTTGCTTGCAGTTGCTTTCAGAACGCATATACCCGGAGGCACAGTGTGGATTTAGAGCAGGAAGATCAATGATCAACATGATTTTCTCACTGGGGCAACTACAAGAGAAATGCCGATAGCAAAGGTAGCCATTATACATTGCCTTTATCGACCTGACCAAGGCTTTTGACTTGGTCAATAGGAAAGGACTATCTACTCTGCTTCAAAGAATAGGATGACCCTCCAAGCTTCTGAGGATGATCACAGCTTTTCATAACGATATGCAAAATATCATACAGTACGATGGTTCCTCCTCAGATCCATTCCCAATCAAGAGCAGGGTGAAAAAAGGGTGTGTACGTGCTCCTACACTTTTTGGAATCTTCTTCTCTCTACTGCTTTCCCATGCCTTCAGCCTGTTAGAGGATGGCGTATACCTTCATACCACAAGTGATGGTAAACTGTTCAACCTTGCACGTCTACGATCAAAGACGAGGTACGGAAAGCATTGATGAGGAAAATGTTGTTTGCAGACAATGCTGCCCTGGCGGCACATACCGAAGAAACTCTACAACGACTTTTTAACTGCTTTGCACGTGCATGTAATGAGTTCGGTCTTACAGTCGCAAGAAGACCAAGATCATGGGCCAAAACGTCAGCCACATCCCCAACATCTCCATCGGTGACTACACTCTCGAAGTGGTACACACTTTTACCTACCTGGGTTCCACCACCGCCAGCAACTTCTCTTTATATTCTAAGCTGAACTCAAGGATCGGCAAGGCAGCAACGGCAATGGCCCGTCTGGGCAGAAGGGTCTGGAAAAACTTCATACTGACCATCAACACCAAGATGAAGGTATATCAAGCCTGCGTGCTCAGCACACTGCTCTATGGCAGCGAAACATGGACCCTGTACTCCCGCCAAGAGCGCAGACTGAATGCCTTCCACCTGTGTTGTCTCAAACAGATCAGATGGCATCAACTGAAATGATCGTGTCCCAAGAATACCCAGTAGGTTTGCCTCGCTCGCCTAGAGACGCTCGCGCTAGCTTGATAATGTAAGCCGCATGGAAGATGGTCGAATTCCCAAGGACATGCTGTATGCACAGCTTGCTACTGGCTCCAGACTTGCAGGAAGGCCTGTCCTTCTATACACAGACGTTTGCAAACGAGATCTGAAGGCAGGCGACATCAACTCAGAAGGCTGGGAGGCTGCAGCTGCAGACCGCGACAGTTGGATGCTTGTCGTCAAAACAGGGATCCAGACAAGCGAGAAGAAGAGAGAAGACCTGTGGGACGCTCAGAGAGAGCGCAGACGACAGATTAGGACCGTAACAGCACCTACAGAGCCAAGCATGGACATGTAGACCTGTCAAAACTGCAACAGAGCCTGTCGATCAAGAATCGAATCGTACAGCCACAGCAGGCGCTGCAACTCAATCAGATATTAACCTCTTGGCGCATTTTCCATTGTCTTCAGAGACAGAAGGATGCCGATATACGACAATGTTCACCTAAAATGAACGATTGTTACGAAGTTGAAGCATTTTCCTTTTTCACTTGAAAATACTCAAAATTCGGTCATTTTTAGTATGAAAGTCATTTTCAAGAGCGATTTTCCGAAAACCCTTATTACCCACGTCAAATAAACGCACGGCAAATGGGAGATCAATCTTTCCTGTATCAGAATCCGTTTTAATTTTGAAAATTGGCGAACGGAAACCTTTATCGTTTTCAGTTTGAAAATTTTTAGTCGAAGTTGTGTTCAGAAATGGCGCGTTTTGAGCTAGTGACCTATTCTCTTTAGCCCAGCCATGAATAGCTATACACTATCTCAGAGAGATAAGCTCTATAGGGGCTCATCAGAGCGTTCATTACATCAAGTAGGCCTGCCTGAAAGCGAAAACTGGCGAGGAAAGGACTTACTTTCCATTTTTGCGCAACTTCTACTTCGCACGCGTGGCTTCAAAACACGCGCGCCAGTGTAAGTATGTTTTTATCGGTGGTATGACTACGAAAATTGCAAAACATTTCTAACCTCGAGGACTGTAAGTTAGGCTCGACGAGAATAAAAACAATTGAAAAACAGTGCTTCTTCAATTTTCGTAAATTTAGAGGTTTCGAAAAACTTTTTTTCAATTTTTTCCAAAAAAAATGTGTTTTCAGTAGGAAAACAAAGAGAGGAATATGGCACCGACTTGTCTCGTTCACGGTGCGTCGCAAGGAGAAACTGTGGCGTGAAAATACCACTTCGCTCTCTTTCTCAGATCGACGCCGTTTTTCTTTCGTGAGAGGATAAACGCTCTAATGTCCTTTTCTAGAGGAAGCAGTCAGTGCTTACAAGTAACGTAATTAACTTAACCCCGACACGAATTCATTTTAAATGATTTAAAATATAGCATTTTTGTCGATATTTGATTTGATTGACTTTCATCTAACAATGATGATAGTGTTTTGGGTCAGTGGCATAGCCATTAGCTCAACTCTTTTTTGCAATATTTTGTGATCCTAGTTTTTCCATATTATTCGTATTTTGTTAAGCTTTTTAGATGCAAGAATACTGACGATTATGGTAAGATTGTTAGGGCTTTTACGCTTTAAGTCTCTGGATGACCCAAAACACCAAGTACAACGCAATTTCGTTTGCAGTGTAAATTCCGCCACAAGTGTTTGCTTTAGATCAGAGTATCGAGTTGCGTCTTCGACGCAAATCATGTCCTTGAAACAACACGTCCTCACGACAAAGAAAGGCTTTGCATCGTTGGATATGGTTTACAATAAACAAACGTAAGAATTGATTTACATAATCTGCATTACGTGCTTCGGTAACCTTCTTTGCAAGAAGATAAACAATCTCGGAACAAATGTCTTCTTAATTTCCTAAACGTTTCATTTTCTCACCGCACCATTTCTAGCTATAAAACGAAAAGTTATTCTTAGTGTGGGTAAACAAGAAACCCTCGCAATTTAAACCCCAAAATGGCCATACATGTCGATGCTCTAGTATAAAACTATGATAAATGAATGCGCAAAGTTATAAGAAGCGCTTTCTAAACAACTGTTTCACATACCTATTTTAGACATTCTTTAGATATAAACCTCAAATATGCGTCTGAAGATTTTGGAACAGATTTTCAAAGCGAGTAATTTGTTGGCGCAATATCTAAATGCTTCCTCGCAGCGTACAACACCATGAGTTCTTTCCAAGGAATAACGCATAGGAATTATGATGCAATGAATCGTCGGATAGATAGATAGTTTATTGATAACAGCTTTGCTACCAAAAGTTGATTTATATGATTATTACAAAAAGACAATTTTAATAATTACATTAAAAGGACTACCAATAGTTTTTAAACAAGTCTGCATTAAAATGTGTTTGTAAACATGTTGTGTTAGTAAATGAAACATGTTAAAGAAATATTTAAGTCTAGAAAACTCGTTCAGGCCTTAAGGGCATTAAAAGTGACACAGCAAGAATGTTACGAAATCTGTTCGTCTTGAAGACGGGCCTAAACTTGTATATGTTTCTTAGGATTAAGGTACATGTGTTACGAGTAGAAAGAAGGACATGGAGCTGGTTCTGTTCGCTCTGTATAACTTCCTTAAATAGTTTATAAACTAATTCCTAGTTAATAGAATGAATGGTAAACAGATATGAGTTAAATTTTGCCGTTCTCGTTAAATACTAGCTGTCTGGCAAGAATAAATCTAGGGGTAAACCCTCACCGAAAAAACCCACTACAAGAACAAGGCACAAGACTATTTGTGCCAGCTACCGCACTCATAGTAGTAAGTAAACAAGTTATGTTCAGTTGCTCAAGCATTGTTTCATCAACTGGTTCAGGTAATTACAGAAATATTTCAAGTCTTTACTCAAGTGGTGGCTGGCCGGGTCTGTACAAATGCCTGACCACAAGTTCCCATGTCAATAACTTGTTCATTCTCTCTCTTGGTTTTCACGTCAATGACGGTCCTCCAGGGAATGAACCAAAAGAAGAATATTGCAATGAATTCTATCGCTATTATCTGAAGGAGAGTATCCCAGTGATCTAAAAAATATATTTCTGCTGAAGGGATAAATTTGAGAACACATGCAAACAAGATGATAGTAACGGGAAGCAAAATTATAAAAAATCGTTGCACCGTACATAGAATGCATGTGTTTGTTTTCTTAATCACTAAGACTGCATCTGTTACCACCTTAACAGCGATGATTAAGAGCTTCAACGAGCTGTAACTTACAGTAGTGGCCAACCCAATATTAAAGACAATTCTGTTGCAGATGACCTGTATGGTTTCATTTTGAATCAGATCTTGAACGGCAGCACTGCTACAGTTTAGGGGATCTTGCTTCCCACTCAATTTGCGTTCGAAGCAGTCTTTTGTGGGGTCATCTTCATCGCAGTCGTAACTTGCCTCCCATACAAGGAACTGCCAAAAAGTTATCAGCACTGAGCTAAACATTATATTACACAGGATCAAAAATCTGGCTTGGAGCTTCAATAATAAATCCTTCTCTTTTGACAGATCAATGTCTTTAAACAACCACTTTAAATGAGTTCTTTCTTTACGACAACAAGTCTTCTTCTCCTCCTTGAATATATCGGAAAATGCATTTGTGGCAACCCAGCGTTGGATACGATCCAGTTTGCCACAACGCGCCATCCAAAAATGGACAAGGCTGAGAATAAAAATAACGCAAACAGGTGGAAAACTGAAAATTGCATAGTACTCAAGTAACTTCATTATCTTGTTGAGCAGCAAAACTGATCAAGTTATATTCAGAGAAGTTGAAAATCGCGATGAAGTGATAAAATATTCATTGAGCAGTAAAACTGATGAATTTGCATTCAGAGAAGTTGAAAATTGTGATGAAGTGATAAAATATTTACACCCCTCGTTCTGAAAACGAGGTACGTAGGAAATCATCTTCTTACTCCTGCGGGAGACTGGTGTGAGGTGGCAGTCATCAAATTTTCTACTCCTCAGAGATACGCCGAGGTACTGGGGATGATGACTCTTTCTATCGGGCGTCGCACAGAGTTTGAGGCAAGGAGACAGCTGACATCTTAGACGACGGAAAGATTGGCTCATTGATGAATGCAATCCTTACTCTCAAGCCAGTGAATGGCAAAAGAGTTCACTTCCATGAGCGAATCGCTTAAATGAAAATGCCTTCAAGGTCTAACATGACAGTTTATGCTTTGGCAACGGTCGCTGATGTTGTCTTTGTCATCAGATCGGGGACTTGAGTAAGGCATTTTAACACAATTTGGTCTTAGGGGGGAAGGGAAACTGAACGAACTAATCTTCAAAAGTTCAAACTCCCGGGGGGGGGGGGGTTGCCCGGGGGGGAGCTGCCCGGGGGAGGAGGAGTTGATAATTCGAATCACGGATCGACACTTTCAAAATATGTTTCCTCCCCTTGATCTTTCAGCTGACTTTTTCTTTTTAATGTTTCTTTCCTTTTTACCTCATGGTATGACGTAAGTCATACATGAGGTTTAGGTATGGACGCAAAATTCACTCACTCGGTCAATCACTCACTCCATTCTAATCTGTTAGACAATTAATTTATGCTATGCAGCAAACGTGTTTCCCTCTATCTCCCCTACTAGGTTTGACTTTGTTCCTAAGTCGTGTCATGTCTCATGTTCATATACCTAGAGGGTGGAACAGAGGAGGAAATTTTTGCCTGAGTACATGGAGAGGTTAAAATAATTATCAGAATGGCGTCTGTCAGTGTGCGGACGCTTAAATTATCAAAGTCATTTTCCTTCCTTTCGCTCTATCCTTGATCAAAATACACCCTTGTATACCTCACAAACGAAGAGGAAATGTGCGGAAGAATAGTCAAGTTGAAAGAAAAGAGCTTCAAAGTCTTAAAAGCGACGATGACACAGTGCCAACTATAGATAGCTGTTTGATCAGTTAATACATCAGTTCATTTTTACGACGAGGAATCGATCACGCGCATGAAGAATGCAATACAAGGAATGAACTTTTTTCCATCTGGGAGAAAAGGTAAGCCTTCATCCTTCTATTTTGATGCATTTTATACATGTTTGCAGGGCATATAATTTGAATACAAACGCACTTTAAGATTTCGCCATTCGTTCTGAAGCTGTTCGGAAAATGTTACATCACAAAGCACATACTTTTCTTATTGTTGTAAATGCAGCTGTTCGCCATTTTGTAAGGTGCGGCTCGTCTCTTTGCGGAGTTGATTTCAGTCAGGTAGCGATTTAAAGTATCAGTGGTATGGACATAATTTGCATAGAAAATGCTCATAACAAGTCTCTATTATATTCAGGGGACAGAAGTATTATCAGAACCCTCGACTGGCCAGGGTAATTCGCAAGGCCAGGAGATGTACAGCTTCGAAGAAACTTACGTTGAATTGCCCTTTCGCAGGGTCTTTAATTCCACAGCTGTGGAAAGCAAGGCAGCCATAGAGCTCGTACACAATTGTCAAACAAATGCCAAATATACTATACGCCAAATAACAAATGCCAAATATCAAAAGTCATATAAATGCCAAACAAGTGATCCATTATCTGAATGCCAACTGAAATACACGAAGAAAGCGGTGAACCCGAATACCAAAGAGCAAATCATTATCAAGCGTAATCCTACATTGCTTGAGCAGTTTTTAAATGCATTTATTGAGGAGGAACAAGAATATCAAAATGAAATACTAGTCCACATGTCAAGTAATTGTCAGTACAGGAATGCAGATGAAAATATGAATGTACGAAAATCTAGAGGAACCATCAATGTCTCCCACTCTCATTTTAGATTGAGACGTGAAAGAGAACCCTCCAGAATTCCTTACAGAATGGTTACCAGGCTTTTGGAAAAAAAAAACCAGAAATTCAGTGAAATTATACATTAAGAAATGTGTCCCAAAATCATCTATACTAAAGGCTATGTTGTGTGGATATCATCATTATCGTTTCTTTGAGTGACATACAAGGTCAAACTTCACACTTTTCCCAAAGAAGTGTTTCATGATGCAAAGTTTGTTCATTGTTCAAACCAGGACACTAAAGCACAAAAAGTCACCTTTTTTTTGTATGTATGCAGAAGGTAATCTTAGAAAATTAAGCCAGCTCCACATAAAAACTTCACTTCACTATCAAGCAGGATCATATCATTGAGTGGAGATGTGGAGTCAAATCCTGGCCCTTCAAATCAGTATTACAATCCAGTCCCTTTTACATCAGCCACAAGTTCGTTTTCTCTATTAGAAAGCAGACTATCTCAGTTCAGCAGAACTGCAATAGATGTTGGAGAAGATGGTGATTGCCTTTTTAGGGCTGTATCACATCAACTCTATGGTAATCCTAATAATCATTTTCACGTGCGCAGTGTGGCATTCAGTATTAAGTGTATCACCCTGAATAGTTTATAGAGAGTAACACTGAGCATTCTTGGCAAGGTTATTTGGAAAGAATGTCATTTCAAGGAATGTGGGCTCATGCAGTCGTAATTCAAGCTGTTGCCAAATGTCTTAATTTATCAATTCACATTGCTGAATCAAATCCAACTTTTTCTCCTCTTACTGTTGTTGAACCAATGAATGCAGATGGCCTAAATATTTACATTGGGCACTTAGATGAAATTCATTATGTTTCCACAGTAGAAAGTAGAACTTTGGAGTTTACAAAGCAAATGTGCACAAAATGCTGATAAAAACAATCCAGTTGACCGCAATAAGAAACGTAAAACTTACATAAAAGAATACATGAGGGAATACATGAAAAAGAGAAGAGCTGATGAGAAGTTTAGAAAAATTGAGAATGGTAACTTGCTGCAAAGCAGCTGCATTATTAGCAAAACAACCTGGACAAGAAAAACCAGGCTGCCAGAAAAAGAAAACTGAATCCAGAACATGTCAGAGAAATTGAGGGTCACTCCTTTAGAAAACAAAAAGCAAAGAACCCAGAGTACATAAGGGAAATTAACAAACAGACTGTAAGAAAACAAAAAGCAAAGAACCCAGAGCACATAAGGGAAATTAACAAACAGTCTGTTAAAAAAAAAAGCTGAGAACCCAGAGTACATAAGGGATATGAACAAACAGTCTGTGAGAAAACAAAATAGAAAGAACGCAGAGCACATAAGGGAAATTAACAAGCAGGTAGTGAGAAAATGAAAAGCAGAGGACCTGCAGTATATTAAGGAAATCAATAAACAGACAGCAAGAAGACGAAAAGCAGAGAATGCAGAGCACATAAGAGAAATTAACAAACAAGTGGCCAGAAAACAAAAACTGAATAACCCTCAACACATCAAAGAAGTAAATAGAAATTCCAAAAAAAGCAGAAACAGATACTGAAACACCATTTCATGATCTGCCAAGTGTATCACAACTAACATGCAGCAGTGACGTGCTGATGTTGGCCCGTCACTTGTACCTAGGCCCTCCCTGAGGGAAACTACATCCGGGCTCCCCAATTATTGTTGTTGTTGTAACACGAAGTGCTCGTGGTCAAGCTCGGGAATAAAGACTGTGTTCATTGAGCCCTCGATATTGTTTGAGTCGTCTGTACTGCCTGACATGGTGTCAGGAGTGGGATAGATCCGATAAATCGACAAGAGAAGCATTTACGGAGAGCAAACGTACATTTAGCGAATTCAACGACCGCAGCCGACTCGTCAAACAGCGATGGCGAACCTCAAGCGACCAGAATTGAAACTCGGCGGGAATATGTCAGAAAATTCAAGAACTTCGAACTCAGATTCCACGACTACTGCATCCAAGCAGACTACCGAAACTTAGCGAAAAACCCCGAGACAGAGAGAGCAGATTACTACAAGAAACCGTTACTGGAAATATCAGCGCTCCGATCGGCAATGCCGGACGAAGCCTTGCAAGTGATCCGTTACACAATTGAACCCCAGATAGCAGCTGATGATCAGAAAAAACCATGGATCTGGATGGACAAATTACGACTTCATTACACTGGATCTATCGGAAGCTCCCTATTGGCGGACAGATTTAAATTCTGGAACACTCAGCAAAGCCCACACGAATCTGTTCAGGAATGGGAAGTTAAGGTCAGACAGGCGGGCAGCCTGTGCTCGTACAATGCACTGACCGACGAAATGTGCCGTGACAAATTCGTTTTTGGCTTGCACGATGGCACAATGAGAGCTGAGTTACTAAAAACGCATTTAAAGTCGGACGGAATGCCCAAGAACATGCAAGATGTCGTTGCCGAAGCCAAGGCCCTCGAGTCAGCCCAAAAAGCCAACAAACTCATAACAGACGCCACAAAAGGAATCGAGGAACAAGTTAATTGGATAAGCCACAAACAAATGAAACTAAAGCGGGAGCCTGGAACCTGCTTTTGGTGTGTAGACCGACGCGGACCTCACCCCTGGAAAACATGCCCTGCAAATGGCAAAACCTGCACTAAGTGTGGAATTAACGACCACTTCTCCAGAGTCTGTCTCGAGACAGGCGCCCCCCAACATGAACAACCAAGGAGAACTACCCAATGGCAAGCTCAGGGTAGGGGGCGAGGCCACAGAGCACCTCGTGGCCGGTCCCAACCAAAACCCCCTCGTGAACAAAACGTACATATGCTGCAGATGACAAATGACCAACACCCTGTGGAGTACTACACTGATGACTACCAAGAACAGTGCTACTCCCTGGAAACACGGCAAATACACAGTATCCACACAACCCACGCAAAGAAAAAATACTTTGTTACACTGCCCATGTCTGCAACAGGGAACAAATTCACCCCAGTGACATTCCAAATAGA